CCCCCCCGGACCCCCCAATACAGTAAAACTGCACATTTTAGAGTGGCCTTTTATTGTGGCCAGCCTAAAGCACGCCTGTGCAATAATCATGCTGTCTAATCAGCATCTTGATATGCCACACCTGTGAGGTGGATGGATTATCTCGGCAAAGGAGAAGTTCTCACTAACACAGATTTAGACAGATTTGTGAACAATATTTGAGAGAAATAGGCCTTTTGTGTACATAGAAAAAGTCTTAGATCAGCTCATGAAAAATGGGGGCAAAAACAAAAGTGTTGCGTTTATAATTTTGTTCAGTGTAGTTAGTGCAGTTAATGAATTTCCTTTCTAGAGCACTTAATTATGATTAGAAGGTATGCAGATAGGAGTAAAAATAACTTGACATTGGCCCCATTCATGAAACTGTTTGTGTAATGTCAGACACTGCTTTTGCCGTATGTGCAATGTATAATTCTTTCTTACATTCAGGTAATAAGAATGAATGTTATTTTTGTCTAGTATTAACCTTAAATGTCTTTATATAGCTTTTTGTTAATTGTTTGACTTTTGTTATTTATTCTGTTTTCCCTATGAAGATATCCTTGCTGGTGACATGGCATTAAAATAAATATAAATAATAACATTCATTCTTTTCTATTTTTGTATCTTTTCATCTTTACCGTAACATAGAAAGTTGATGCCACCACAAGGGCGGTGTTGGACATTATGACCAAGACAACGGAGTACCTACAGCCCAATCCAGGTGAATGTGAATAATAATTTGTAATAGTATATACAGTATATCCCTAGCTTAAAAAAATTTAAATCTCACTAATGTACATCACATTAATGTTTTTGTGCTTTTTTTTGTTTTGTTTGCTTGATTATTCAGCAACTCGTGCCAAAATGAGTATGATGAGCTCCATGTCTAAAATCCGTGGTGGAGATAAAGGTACTGGCTACACACAGACTGAAGTCATCCTGGGAGAGTCCATGCAAAAGTTTGGCAGGGAACTCGGGGAGGAATCCAGCTTTGGTAATGCTTGCTTTGCTATGAACATACACAATGTCGGAGCTTTTAACCTTGTGGGCAGCTCTTCCACATAAAGCGCAGTATTAACATACACAATGTAAACTGCCTTATTCCAAAATATTTTTTATCAACAAGCTCTATTGATGTAATGGTTACTTAGTTTGCAAACTAGATTAAACAATAAACTCAGTCTTTATGTTAATGTGTAACGAGCAAAAATCCATCAGCTAGCAGAATTCACTAATAATAAGGAAAATAACGTGTTCATATTTAAATGTTTAAGCCATCTCAACACCACTCAAAACAAGGCACAACCAGGTCTGTCAATAAGGCTCTTTTCAGACCTGTAGATCGTTTGGTACTTAAATTGTTACAAGTATTCTTCTTGGTTCAGTATGTTTTCACACAGCAGCACTTCCTAAATTGTACCAAAATGTTTATGCAAGTCACATGTGAGTAATACTGTCCTCTCACTGGTCAGAGTACATGTGTTTAAGTTGTTCATTATCATCCGTCAAGATGGATTGGCAAGTTATCTCTGTGGGCTTATTGTGACTTTTTCTGTAGCTGTCGTTGCACATACGATGTATCTGTCATTCCCACTATAATTGATCAGAACAGCAATTAGACCACATTAAGATAAAGAGGTGCTCTTTGGTTTCAACTGCGATTAGTAATGTGCTCGCTCACTCACAGAATCAGACACTGCTGCCTTTTACATAACCTGTTTCCCATTATTAATTATGATACAGCTTCATTTGTTGGTTGGTTGTGTCTGATTGATGTCTCGCTACAACTGAACCATTTTAGGAATGTGGTTGGCTGAAATGACTGTATGGCAGGGATGCTTAACATCCTGCCAGCAGGCAAAATCTGGCCCATGACAAGGTTATCAATGACCCACAACCACAATCCAGACTGTTTTGACAATGTAGTTGCTGTTTTTGTGGCTGCACCACATGGACAATGCAGCACGATACATCAGAATACTCTCATTTATAATAAATGAAGCTGTCTATGATGCAAGAGATCAGTTATAGCACGCATGTAAAGAGCAGCTTAACAAAGCAGCTCAACCAAACTAGATGCTTGCTCTCCATCTCCTATTAAAATAAAATAATCTGCCTACATTCTTACATTGCATGCAATTAAATGACATTTAATTGGTAGATTATTCAGATTAAATTACAAAAGGTTTTGCTATTCAAAAACTCATTGCGTTTTTTTAATCATCATCACGCAAAGCTTGAGGATATGCAAATAATGTATTCACCGACTGGTGTGTAGTGACAAACTGTTTGCAGCATATGCAGATGTCTAATAATGTGGAAATTAGCAGGAAAGAATTGTGATAGCAGTCTAATATTAACATACTGGAAGCATTTATAAGTGCAGTTGTATAAAAATAAATTTGTCATGTTTGAAAACCATTTGACTGTATGTTCTGGAGAATAAAAAGAGGGTTTGTTAAAAACTGACCAGCACTAAGTGTTTTGAAGAAGTAGTTGTTTTAAGAAATGGCTGTGATTGCTGAAATATTTAAAAACCAACTTAAAATCAAGTAATCTATCATTACCATAACCAGATCTATTAGTTTTGTGTTAGTATATGAATAACTAAAAACTACTTCATTCAGTGCATTGGATTCTCACTGATTTGCCCTTAAAAGATACAGCTATATTATAGAGAGAGATATAATGTACACTTGTGTTTTACAGGTCTGGCTCTGATCGATGTTGGAGAAGCCATGCGAGAGCTAGGTGACGTTAAAGATGCTCTAGACATGGAGGTCAAGCAAAACTTTATTGATCCCTTGCAGAATATGCATGATAAAGACTTAAAAGAAATCCAGGTGAGATATAAGAAATTATTGCAATGAACAATAATTCCCCCCCCCCAAAAAAAACCGGTGCTTTTGAGATTAGACCAGTCATCCTGTAAGGCAAAATGTTTACACCTCCAACATTTTGTCTTATGACCTCTTAACAGAAAATTCACAGTTGTGTTCCTTTTGCATGTGATATTTCAGTGTAAAAATCTGTTTTATTCACTAACCTTTCACAGTCCATTCTAACCTGACACTTAAAAGCTCTGAAATAGCACTGAACTGCATTCAAATTAAGTAATTGTCATACCATATCATTAATTGTGGCAATTATCACTCCTGGAAAGTAGTTGCAGTGTCACTGATAATTTCATTTCAACCTTAATAGTTTCAGTGGCAGTGTGGATTGTTTCATGAACTTGACACAAAGAGGTTGTTGGATGACAGATGGCTGGGGCTGTTATAAAATATACTGGAAGCAGCTTGAGAGTAAAAAGGGCTAAATCTCATTTCACACACATCAGCAAAAATGTCTCATTTAATTCTAAAGTCAGAGAAAGGAGACACAAATGGTCATGAGTCGTAACTATATTTAGATTTTAGTGACTATACTAACAATATGTGACCCTGGACCACAAAACCAGTCTTAAGTGGGGTATATTTTTAGCAATAGCCAAAAGAACATTGTATGGGTCAAAATTATCGATTTTTCTTTTATGCCACAAATCATTAGGATATTAAGTAAAGATCATGTTCCGTGAAGATATTTTGTTAATTTCTTACCGTAAATATATCAAAACTTAATTTTTGATTAGTAATATGCATTGCTAAGAACTTCTTTTGGACAACTTTAAAGGCGATTTTCTCAGTATTTTTATTTTTTTTGCACCCTCAGATTCCAGATTTTCAAATAGTTGTATCTCGACCAAATATTGTCCTATTCTAACAAACCATATATTAATGGAAAGCTTATTTATTCAGCTTTCAGATGATGTATAAATCTCAATTTTAAAAAATGGACCCTTATGACTGGTTTTGTGGTCCAGGGTCACATATTTGAAGTGAATATAAACAATAAAAATGTATGCATGACCTCTTTAAATACAAATGATTCTCCCATGTCAGTCACTGATATTTAGTTAATGATTTTGGATAAACTTCAGTTGAGGCTACAGTTTTTAGATAGCCTGTGAGATTTAAATGTTCTTGTGATTATTACATTACAGTGAGAATATTTATCAGTATTTGAAATGGCTTTGAAGAAGTCATAGGGTGTTTGATCACACTTTATTGTCACAGCTGTTGATGGAGACAGTATAACTGAATGTGTCACTAGAGGTCAGTAACTGAACATTGCATCTTTTTCTATTATGACAGCATCACCTGAAGAAGTTGGAAGGGCGACGGTTGGACTTTGACTATAAGAAGAAAAGGCAAGGAAAAGTCACAGAAGATGAGATCAAACAGGCCTTGGAGAAGTTTGATGACTCAAAGGAGGTTGCCGAACAAAGCATGTTTAACCTTCTGGAGAGTGATGTAAGATCTGTGACCTGACTTGCCCTTGTTCACAATCCATTTCATGCTTCTGTAGAGTTTCATTTTACTTTCATCTGTCCCAATGTCCAGTGAGTCTTCCCACTACACCTTTCCTTTTATTCTGAAGTAATAACCCACAATAAGTCACAGGATTCACTTGTTTTCATTGATCAGTTCATCTTACACAATGGCTATGTCTACATGGTTAACAGTCTGTTTACCACCAGTAATCAAAGTAAGAATTAAGTTTATATGACATGGGCAAACATTTTTAGTCCCGTTTACATGATACTTGCCATTATTTCGATTATTTGCTAAGAGGTGTGATGTTTTTGCTTTAAAATAGGCAGCCTTCAAGCATTCCTGCGTTCACGGACCTGTTCGCCAGTTCTAGGGTACACGGTCTCCCTCATTTTGTAGAAGTCACACTTCTGGGGAACTCAGGAAACTGAGTTCATGCTTATAGCTTTACACAACATGGACATCATGTGTCTTATTGATGGTCAGAAACACTAGAATGGACACACTTCAGGCACATTTCTGAACATCAATGTGCATGATGCCAATAAAGTGTGGCTTCTTCTGTTCCAGCATGTTTTCGAACCCATGCATGAGCGTATAGTCAGATTAAAAGCGCAATACTCAACATATTTACTGTGGTTCATGGTTACTCTAAATATGAATGTAATCATCACAGTGTTTACACAAGCTTGCAATACTTCAGTGCTGCCTTTACTGCATTATAAGAGTGCATGTAAATGTAGCCATTGTTTGTTAGTATTGACCTTCATATACAATCAGTAAGGCATTATTTGCTTTCATGCGTAATAGCTGTTGATGTTCTAACTGTGTTTCTGCAGATTGAACAAGTGAGTCAGATTTCTGCTCTGGTCCAAGCTCAGGTGAACTACCACAGACAGGCCACAGAGATCCTTCAGCAGCTGTCCAGCAAGTTAGAGGACAGGTCTGTATTCTAGAATAAATCCTAAATCTAGTTTAATGTTTGAATGGAAGATCTCCCTTCTCCCAATAAAACATGCAATTACAGGCATCCGTTCTTAAAAAGTTAAAAGTATGTTTATGACAATTCATTTTACTATTCATTTTATGTTATTACTTGTACAAACAGTTTTTGACAATTGCATACATATGATTTCTGAAATTATGAGTCCTTAAAGGGATAGTTCACCCAAAAATGACAATTTGATCTGCTTCCCCCAGGGCATCCAAGATGTAAGTGACTTTGTTTCTTCAGTAGAACACAAACGAAGATTTTTAACACAAACCGTTGCAGTCTGTCAGTCTTATAATGGAGGTGAATGGGAATCAAGGCTTTGAGCGTAAAAAAAAAAAAACATACACAAACAGAACCAAATTAAACCCTGCGGCTCATGATGATACATTGATTTGTAAAGACACAAAACTATCGGTCTTTGCAAGAAACGGAACAGTTTTTTACCTCTGATTCACGCAATGTTCGAACTGTCCACTTGAGAGATAGGTGGCGGAAATGCACTTATAAGTCTGCGATCCGCTGTAAAGCAAGAAGAAGAAGAAGACGCCTCATGCGCCTGCTGTTGAGAACGCGCTCAGGAGGATGCGCCGCCGCTCAGGACGCCAATCGTTTTTGTGTCTTTACACATCAATGTATCGTCACGAGCCGCAGGGTTTAATTTGGTTTTGTTTGTGTATGTTTTTTTTACTCTCAAAGCCGTGATTCCTATTCACCTCCATTATAAGACTGACAGACTACAACGGTTTGTGTTAAAGCAGATAAACATCAAATTTTCATTTTTGGGTTAACTATCCCTTTAAAATGGTGTTTTGCCCCATAACAAAAACTGCTAAATGATTAGCTCTTAAACACTCCAACTACACATAGATGTGACAAATGTTAAACACTGCAATCTTCTTTTGCATGTTCAGGGTGGTGTAGCGCACAGAATTATGCTTACACTGTAAATACATACTGAATAAACATACATAAAGTACACTGTAAACAGAAATTATTTCTAAGTGCACAAATTAGCTGTAAGTGTTTGTACACATGAGCACTAATTGTAATTGGTAAATTGGTGTGGCATTTTGAATGGCACTGTTTCCAAATGAAACACGAGAGCTCTTAGTTTTAAATGTAGAGTTTTAAAACTGTAGAGAACAGTTGTTTTTTTGATAAGGCTTGTTTTACAGTTAACTAAAGCAGTTAATGTGTTTGCAGTTTTGCAGACTTGGTCTGAAGATTAGGTACAGTGGCACAATCAGTGGTACTCACTGTTTTAACTCACAAACAATACTAATGTGCAAATAATTGTTTAAAAAAAGACACAACCCTATTAATAATGTTAAACTGTATTTTTTGATTGACTGTACTTTGAAGTGTTTTATTAGATTTTGCAATCAATTAGAAAAATGTAATCAAATGAATTGCATAAGATACAGTATGTGATAAAAATATTTTTAATTAATCGCACATAGGCCAATCACTTTGCTGAGAAAAGCCTTCAAATGAATACAATTCAAGAATGTCATATTTTTGTGGCAGACGAAAGCACTGAATATAGTCATTAGAAAAAAGTGACTTTTGTAAGTGTTTGTTTTATTTCAATTGCATTTAAATCATAAGCCTACAGTTCATAGCAGTCGGTTTTGGAGTTTGTCAATCTGTCAGAGGTAGTAGCCTGTGGGGGGGCCTTCACACAGGATGCATTTTTGTATCCCACCTGCACCTGGGTGTTGCGGTGCATCTCGCTGTATTGCATCACATCTCACATCAAGAATGTCACATTTTTCAGACACTGTGTGAATTTAAAAATAGTTCAGCACATCTAGAGACCCCATTCAGTTCCATTCTGTTGCACACCATCTGTATTTGAACACGAAAACATCCTGTGTGAATGACCCCAACTGTTCTCGATAGGTATGGTTTGGTAAAGCACTTAAGTTGCCTGTAGTGGCAACTGATGAAAGTCTGACTATGAAAATACACAAAAAACATGCTTTGCATTTAGGCTTGCTCAGAAGGTGGGACATTTCTTACATAAAAATGACTTATTTTATGTGTTTTGGTGGCATGAGTGATTAATTGTTAATTTTTAAATGTTATTTTGTGATTTAAAAAAATAATTAAATGTTAATTTGGTGATAATTTGTATTTTTTTTTGGCAGAATAAGAGAGGCTTCTAATAAGCCAAGAAGAGAGTATGTCCCCAAACCTCGCACTTCTATCGATTTCAGTGAGAACCACAATGGGAACATTGGGCACAGTGGCCCTTCCAGGTCACCAGGTAAGCCAATAATATAATTAAATCTATGAAATGGAAGATTTTGTTTTTTTTCTGTCCTGTAAAGAATCCTTTTTTGTCCTGTTTCAGCTCCAATGGACCAGCCTTGCTGTCGGGCACTTTATGATTTCGACCCTGAAAATGAGGGTGAGCTAGGCTTCAAGGAAGGTGACATCATCACCTTAAGCAGCAAGATTGATGACAACTGGTATGAAGGAGGGATCAATGGGCAGTCTGGCTTCTTCCCTGTCAACTATGTAGATATCCTGGTAGCTTTACCCCACTAAGTCTTATGCATGTACCCTAATCATGACCCAACCAATCAAACCACTTCTTCTGCAAGAAGAGAAAATAACCAAAACAAACCGCACAAACAGCTCTGTGGTGTTTGCGCATAGGAAATAAGCAACAGAATCATTTGAGTGCTCTTTCGTAAATATTATTCCTGACTTGGAATGCCACCACTTTGTTGTATTCATTTCTTTAATTTTCTTGAGGTTGATCTGACCTCTGCATTGCCTGCTGCTATTCCTCCTGTATGTTCAGACGTTATGTTCATTTTTGCCTGTTTCCATTTGCAAGCCTTGAATTGGTCTCTTTATCCAAACCCTTTTTAAAAAATATCTGCAATAAATGTATTTTGGTTTTTAAGTTCTTAGCATAATGTATTTATGAAAAGTTATTTGAAGAATAATGATCAAGGTGATGTGAAGTATTAAACATTTGAAGGATTTTTTTCTTTGAAATTGCAATAGTTGCAAATCAAAATACATATTTCCTGTTCATAGTGTGAAATGTTCCAATGTTTCTTTAATGTCCTAAAATAAATTTTAGCCTTTAAGTGGTGGTAGATTTGACTATTTAAATAGATTAATATTTAGCAACAAAGACAAAAAATGAGACAAGGAAAGTTAAGCAAATCATTTATTTGTTGTGTTACAGTGTGTCGTTTATCTGTCATGTAACATTCTATATGGTCCATGAATCCAGTGGGCATTTTCAAGCTTTCATATCACATTCCATAGATGGTAAACTGGTCACTAAAAGGCAACCCAAAATTCTTTCGTGTGTGTGTGTATTACTATAGGCCTGAGTATGTTATCTGAACCCATAAAACTCTGCATATCATACATTTTTCATATATTTTTCTTTTCCTTTTGTAAAGGTGAAGTGTGTCGTTTTTGTGCTAGTAATCACAACAAACAAAACCGTAAAGAAATTACTTCAAAAACAGCTTTTTCAAACACAGACAGTCCCGGCCAGAATTTGAAAGTGCCACAGAGCAACATTTTTTAAACTCTTTGAGGATCTGATTGACACATGGTTGTTGCACCTCGCCATGTTAAACTGGAAATATTTTAACATCACAAAAATTACACGTGTCACCTGATGTCAAGGATTAATTTCTGACTGTAAATTGTATAATTTGGCCTAATATTTCCACAGACAGAATAAGATAATGTGTTCTTCAAAGATTTAAGTGTGTTTAGTTGATGTATTTATTATTTTCAAATCTAAGATCCCCTTTATATTTAAAAAAAATAAAATGAGCATATCTTGTATTGGCAGGACATTCCAATATTTTTTCAATTGTTGGTTATCCTCAGTGAGGTCTGTACAGTAATTTTTTGTGTTTTATTTCCTATTTGTGTATAGTCATGTAACTATAGTACCATGTGTTACTTTTGGATCAGTGTTAAAGCATTTACCACTAGATATAAAATAGACACTGGATATTTATTAAAGTGCTGGGGGAGTGTTTAGTCAGAAAGCACTGCATATCAACTCCAGCATGAATTTTCAGTTACTCATCTGAATTGTTAGGCTTGTACTGAGAATGAAATATAGTGCAACTACAATAAAAAAAACAATGACAGTTTAATGGTGCTATGTGGAGTGTGTGTATTTTGTTTGACAAACCAGTAGGTGATGCTGCCACTACACATACTTTTTTTCTTTGTTTAACTCTAAAAAATCTAAATTAGCGACATCAAATTCTGAACAAATTTCACTGATGTGTAATTGCCCATGGGCGCATTAAACTTTCTTGAATATTTGTATGAGATTTTGAATTTTTAGCAAGTTTTTCTTTCTGTTCCAATTAGAGGTCAGAGGTCAAAATGCCATATTTCAGGTTATCATTTGACACCATCTACATCAGATATGTCTATTTTTGATAAAGTACCACATGGAAAGTGGAACATGCTGGAGCAGTCTGTTATCAAAATAAACTAATTGTTTCTTACTGGTAATTATTTACAGAAGGAACACTTTGTCCATTTCTACTACTAAAAACATTACAATAAGTTGTTTTGGAAATATTATTACTTCATATAATTTCAGTTACTCTAATATAATGATGATACTAGATTGAAAGAATATAAATAACAAACTGTGGTGATTTCCATGTTGTTATCTTTGGGGTTTTGCAATTTTGGCACCCATTCACTGGGATTTGAAGATATTAATAGCATTGACCAAACGCTTTTAACTGCTTCTCAGCCACCGATACTCTCCACCTCCACCCCCACATGGCCCGCCCAGACACTGGCACGCCAGGGATGTGTCACTTCATCCTACAACTGTACTTACAGTCAGCGAGGCATATAATATCCACCCTATGCTCTACCCCACCCCTCCATGAACACAAGCCAACCAGCAAGCTTCACTCTTTCACGGCCACAATGCAAACATTTACCCTGTTCCCAGACTTACTGCGTGTCGGCAAACACACCAAAGACTAACAGTGTGCCTTGCAGATACTGTGACTGAAAGTACATATTTGTAAATCTATTTGTATTTCATGTCAGAAATTGGTCATGTATATGTGTATAATAGAATACAATCAAACATTATCACGCAACAAAACCTGACAGGATGATCAGGACCTCAACATGAAACATGAAGGTCAGGTATCACCCTTATGCTGTGATCATTTCTTCAGTGTGGCCTGGGACAGTGGTCATTATTATTACATGTCTGAATGTTAATGTGCCATGTATATGCCTATTTGTTTATTTATATTAATACATACAATATATCATATACAGTACATAGTTATCCTAAAATATTCATCTTAATATGATGCAGAATCTCTCATTAATCTAGCCTGTGGCAGTCTAATCTAATATTAGTAATATTAGTAAATGTTGAAATTAACTGATTAATAAATGCTTTAGAAGTATTTTCCATTGTTTGTAATGAAAGTATACAATGCATATACTGTATTTTTTCATTCTTACTAATGTAGTAAGCTTATGTTAACAAATAGAACCTTAAGTGCTACCAATATTTTTACACCTCGGATAACATAAAAGATCTCTGAAGTTGTGATTTGCGCCATTGCTATTTGGCAAAGCATCTGTCATTTGAGCTTAAATCGAAATTTTGAATATGGCTTAGTGCAGTGGTTCTCAGACCTGTCCTGGAGGACCCCTAGCCCTGCACATTTTGTATGTATCCCTTATCTAACACACCTGATTCAACTCATCAGCTCGTTAGTAGAGACTGCAAAACATTGCTTTGGTGTGTCTTATAAGGGAGACATACAAAATGGCTTAGTGTACTAATGCCGCACTCACAAAAAATGATTTTTGGTTATCACTGGTAACTGACAAAATAGAATATATATATTGTCTTATTCCTGTAATAACAATTCTGCATTATCTTAAATCTCTCCTATACAGAGAGACATAATCAAAGACATCAAATCAGTCTTGTGACATACATACATTAAATAAATAAATAAAAATAGGTCATCAGATTGCATTGCTAATTATTGCCTAAATGTCAGAAATATTTGATGCAAACAGCATGAGTCACTCTTTGGATGTTGCAGAGGACTGACAGAGAAGAGTGTGTTTGCCTGTGTTCTTACATGTTTAACTTGCTGGTGTTCTCACATACTTTCTCTTTTGAGCAGCAGGCTGAGCTCTCATCACCAAGCAAGGGCTGATAATTCCTTGTCTTTCAGCTCCGCTCAAAAGAGCTCGTGATTGGAGATGACAAATGAGGCGGTAAGACAGGTCAGACTGCAACAAGCTCAGGTGTGCTAACATGACTGTTAGTGTGTCAATGCACGAATCCAACAATCGTTTATAGATTACAGTTTGTTAAAAACCTGCATCTTCCTAAATAAAACTTCTAAAGCTAAAGCTGTTTATCTGTAAATCACAAGTAGTGCCATGTAAGAGTTAAATTGGAAGGGGGGAAAAGCGATAAGGGTGAAGGCCAGAAGTGGCAGTAGGAATGTGTGTGGGTGCAAGATGGAGAAAGCTCTCTTAATATTGTGTCTGGTAAAGTGTTCCTGTCTGCACCAATGCTCTCAAAGTGGGCCTGAAGCCTATTTTATGACCTAATGTCCAAATCTGTGTCGTGTCTCCAGTCAGTCAGGATCTGAGAAGGATTTTAGATAAGGGGCCAGATAGCAAAAAGTGGAGAGAATTTCCGCCCAATATTCCACACACAATAACGTAATATAATTACATGAATTATAATTGTACACATTTCATGGAGGTATAAACTAACAAATATATAAAAACATTTTAATATATATACCTGTATATATATAATTATAAAATTATATATAAATGTTCTCAACATGTAGTAAAATGTGATGCCACTAAATATTTTTGAATAACTATTTGAACTATTATTAAGTGAAAAGTGTGTGTGTGTGTGTGTGTGTGTGTGTGTGTGTACACATGTAGTAACATTTGGAGTCATATGTGATTAAAGAAGTCTGCTATGCTCACTGCATTTATTTGATAAATGTTAAAAAATACAGTAAATTTAATATAACTGTTTTTCATTTGTATCAATTTTAGTCACACTTTATTTTAAGCTCCAATTCTCGTTATTAACAAACCATTAACTACTCCTAATTTGTTGCTTATTATTAGCAAGGTAGTTGTTACAGTAAGTTTAGGTATTGGGTATAGGATTAGGGATGTAGAATAAGTACATGTGGAATAAATGCTTTATAAGTACTAATAAACAAGCAATATGTAAATAATAGGCATGATAATAAGCAACTAGTTAATAGTGAGAATTGGTCCCTATACTAAAGTGCTACCATTTTAAATGCAATTTATTCCTGTGATGGCAAAGCTTAACTTTCAGAAGCCATTACTCCAGTCTTCAGTGTCACATGATCCTTCAGAAATCATTATAATATGCTAACTGGAGCTCAAGTAACATTTCTTCTTATTATTGTATTTTTGTTGAATTTTTGTTGAAACATGATTCCTTTTTTTCAGGGTTCTTTGATAAATAGAAGGCTAAAATAACATTAGAAATATAATTATTTTGTAACAATGTAAATGTATCTTTGGTCACTTGATTCATTTAATGCATGCTGAATAAATGTATTAATTTCTTTAAAAAATCTTACAGAGCGTACTCTGTGTGTGTGTGTGTGTGTGTGTGTGTGTGTATACACACACACCAAAGAAAATATAAAATATACTCTCCATAGTATACAAATTTATTGCTCTTAAAAACTGGGTGTTAAACTACTTTACCTTAATTTCACATTTAATATATAGCCTACTCAGTGTAATAAAACAGAATATGATTGACAGAAATGCAGTGGGGATGAGTGACAGGTGGAAACATATTTGGGTGCAGCTTCAGAAAAAACAAAGCAGCCGTTCACCCTCAGTGTCAGCTAAAGAAGCAGGCACACACCATGCAAAACAGCTCAGTGAGGGCACCATTTGTTGTGCAAATATACTAGTATATGCAAATAAAGCCACACACACATACACATATACTTTGACATGGCATGGGGAAGCCACAAATAAGCATGACAAGAACAAAAAAAAAGGTTGACCGATTTACTGATGTGTTTACAGGTTAAAAAAAATGTGGACTAGGTTTTTTGGTTTTCAGTCAAACATAACATGTTTTGATCGTATCACAAAGTGACGTGTTTTGTTACCTATGAATTCTGTGAACCAGTACACATGTAGTAACATTTGGAGTCATATGTGATTAAAGAAGTCTGCTATGCTCACTGCATTTATTTGATAAATGTTAAAAAATACAGTAAATTTAATATAACTGTTTTTCATTTGTATCAATTTTAGTCACACTTTATTTTAAGCTCCAATTCTCGTTATTAACAAACCATTAACTACTCCTAATTTGTTGCTTATTATTAGCA